GCGCGCTTTGCGCGCCAGAGCTCCGCTAAAATACTGTTTACACTCATGCTCCAGCTTTGGAAGGTCACTAAGGTTAATATTAGAGACTCGACTAGCCAGGGACAGACAGTTGCTAAGATGAACACCCATCCTGCCAAGGGACAATACAAAAAACTTCTTAGGCTGCTCAGTATTTTTCCCCTCAATCTGCTTTTCAATCAGATGCATAAAATTAGCCCAAAATTTCTTGGTTTCATCCCCAGTAAACCGAAACTCAAATTCAGATGTTTTCTTCTTCTCCTTGAACCACCTCAAAATTTTGTTGTACATCTTCTTACACTTTAGTTGAAACCTGAGAGCTGTCAAATGCTTTCTCAATGGATTTTCATCAGACAAATCAAAAACAGATTTTGCACTAGCAGGAATCTTTGCCTTAGACAAAACATGGGTGAAAAGCAGTTTCTGCCAATGCACCCAGCAATTATTTCCCAAGTGGGATCGCATGTTCCATTTTGAATAACAGGACCAACAACTGCCTCAAATTCTAGATTTGAGGCCTGCTATATGATGCATATGTTGCAGGTTAAATTGAGCCTTAGGTTAATTCGTTTTTAAAACTAGGTCAATTTGTTTCAACCTAGGTCAATTTGTTTTAATTTTCCAAGATGACTTGCATACAAACTCAACCAACTTTTGATAAACATATTCTACAGGTACCTCATACAGTTACTCATAGTATGCAAATCAATAGTAGAACCCAGTGCTCCTCAGTTAGTCAAACATGGCAGCTTCCAATGTGCCTAAAGGTCGCGTAGAATCTGCCCTGTTTTATAGCAAATTAGAGGAACTAAAAGAATCAAAGAAGGCAAAGTCAAGCAAAACCACATTGTTTATTGAAGATTGTTTTTTTCGATGAAACAACAACATGGCTGCAAACAAATCCTGAGTAGTGAAAGAGTCTTAAGGAAGCTAACCAAGCAGAAAATTACAAGGAACAACTGGGTTTTGTCAAATAGAGGAAAGATTATCACCTCAGATAACAAATGTGTAGTACCAAAGAGAGAGATTCATGGTGTACTGTGTGAAGCTCACTCGGGCATAGCATATAGAGGAAGAGATAAAACAGAGAGACACATAAGAACCTTCTAGTTTGGAATTTCTCAAGAAGTAATAACATTGTTTGTTTCACTTTGTAAGCTACACCAGCAACAAAAAAGTGTGAAAACCACACCAAGAAGGCAATAACATATCCAATAACAACAGGAAAACTTCTGGAACATGTGGAGATAGACCTCATTGACTTTCGCAATCTTCCATGTGAATGTAATTCCAAACATAACTGGGTAACCCATGTGATAGACCACTTCAGTAAATATTCATGGCTGTTTCCTATGAAGAGTAAAGAGACTAATGAAGTTATTCTGAATGTTTGGCTTCCCTTCGAAACTTCACTCTGACAATGGGAGGGAATTTAAAAGCAAAACAATGACTGAAATGTGTGAAAAGCACAACATCAAACAGGTTTTTGGGGCACCCAGAACTCCAACAACACAAGGCCTTGTTGAACGAAACAACTTAACAGTCAAGGAGAACATCACCCACATACTCAAAGAACGTGATCAGAATTTAAACAAATGGTGCAAAGTCCTTAGTGAAGCGGCATACAAGAAGAACATCTCATTACATAGGGTGATAAATAAAGTACTATACGAGGTTGTATTTGGAATGCTTCCCTGGAAAGAGATTCCCCTGCACAGAAAAAGTCAGGTTCAACTTCATGTAGAAGAATGTGAACTAGATACAAACTCGGGAACAGTCACAGAGTTCAATGAAATATCTGAGTCGACTAATAATCCAAATGGTTCTGGAAAGAGTACAATGGGATTTTCTGCTGCAGATCATCCAGGAACGTCACCTGAAAACCCATACAAAAGGAAAGCTACAGAAGAGTACATCACTGGGCAACAACAAAAATACAACAAGAAAATGAAAGAATCCAGAGGCAGAGTCAATAAATTCAAAATTGGTGACTTTGTTGCAATAAAAATTGACAAAGTCGATAAAACCTCCCTACTGCATCCAAACGTTCTTCTTGGCAAAGTCTTTGAAGTTCAGGAAAGTTATTCAAAAGTTGTCACCAAATTTGGAGTAATCTCCACCTACATTTCTACAAACCGGCTCAACAAGTGTACTGAAACAAGTGTACAGTTTGACTATAATAGTACAATTACCTTTTCATCTGCTTGTAAAAAGGCTATCAGTCAATAAACATATAATGGTAAAAATATGTAATGAGACGCAATCAAGTAAATACAAGTTAGAACATTTAAAGGAGGAAGTAAATTAAGCTGAATTGTGAATCCACTTTGTAGGGATATTGTGCAATGGATTTAAAATCTGTAAAGTTAATGTGCTCATAATTAAAAATTATTATCGTTCACCACATGGTTTCATAGTATTTTTAGCAGTTAGTATTAGAACGCCATGTAGTCAGAAACCCAAAAAAAGAAAAAGAGAAGTAGACAGAAAAAACAAAGAAACGAAAAAACTTTGTGTCCAGCATTCAGAAAATTTTCCATTTATAAGCATGCATTTATCTTGTCACCATTCCAATTATTAAGAACTAACCAAAAACAGGCCAACCTTTGCGTTATTCAGGCTAACCAGAATGCTATTCAGGCTAACCGGATACAAAGTACAGTCAAACCTCCAGTTGCGACTAACTCTTTTAAGTGACCACCTCTCTTCAGTGACCGCGACCACTTTCAGAGCTAAAAATTTGACATTTTCTTTTGTTTTTAACCTCCCATAAGCAACCACTTGACAGATAATAGAGCAGAAATTGGATAATAAGGTGGTATAACATTATTGCATTCCTGGGTAGTACAAGAGACAGAATTAAATTTCTCAATGGGAAGTACCAGATTTTTCTCCAAACTGACTCTTCACACGAATAAAACATTTAACTCTTTAACCCCCAAGAATGCCAATTGGTACACAAGGTAATAACTTGGTCAATATTTGCCCAATTAATTCGAATTTTTGGCACAAAAATTGTCTTGGGTAGATCTGCATTTTAAAGGCATAAAATTGCACCTCACTCATATTTGAGACTTGATTGACCACCTCTAGAACTTTTGAACTTTTTTTTCTGATACATCTGTGACATACAACATAACTGAAATGAACCACTTCACTGAGAGCTGAAAAATAAGATACAGTTTAGGGGTACATACCTACTATAAACGGAGATAAACAACATTTTTAATCTTTTTCTTTTTGACGATTAGACTAATTTCTCTTAAAACTGTATCTTTCTTCTTCTTTGTTTAAGAGTTTTATGAAATTTACATATCAACACCTTTCAAATGGTGTATTATACATAAATATCCTGTTCATATTTTTTAATTTACGAAAAATGACCATCTCCCTTAGGGACTAAAATTAAAGGAAAAATGCACAAACACTGCACTATATCTGTCTTAAAAGATACGACCTTAAATGTCTTAATTACAGAAAATTAGAACTGATTTCCTGATTCAATCAGTGTTCTCTCAAGAACAGTCAAAAGCTCTCGTAAGCGACCACCCCCCATAAGCGACCGCCTAGGCTTGACATTTTGGATGGTCGCTTACGGGAGGTTTGACTGTATTTTAAAAAACATTTCAGGTGCCAGACATCTCAACACAGCCAAAAAAAACAGACAGACAGACATCAGCAAACTGACCTAGGTTGAGATCAAATTAACCTAGTTTGAAACAAATTTACCTAAAGAACAAATTGACCTACAACACATATCTTTGTACGTAATGTTTGTTTTTGAGATGAATTCGTAGGTTTTCTTCCATAATTTTTTAACACTTTCAACTTTCCTGGCCACTTCAACCCTGAAAGTGTATGACCATGGCTTCCACTTGTTATGGGGATCATTACCCAAACTCCCTCCTCATTTGTTTAATTCAGAAAGGAGCACATTTGCAAAAGATCATGGATATTTGGCAGCAGTACTCGGTTCTCCTGAAAATTTCGCGAGCCATTTCATATCTGATGGCACAAGCTTGAACTCAGATTTGACTAGTTGATCTCTCACTATAAAAGACTGACTTTCAATTTCAGTTATCTGTGATTTAAGCATTCTGCCATATACTAACATTGAGGGGTGATCGTCCTTACAGTTGGCTCCACAGAGAAGAAAATTATCATCTGGAGTTGCAACTCTTTCTTGAAAAAGGATACAAGCCAGACACAAGCCTCATTAGCTTTTCCAAAAGGGGCACCATCAGCTCCTGATGCTACAAGAAAATGACCCTTTTCCCTTCCAAACCATATTAGGAAATTGGCTTTATGGTGATCTAAGTAAAGATATAGGTCTGCCATTTGAAGCAAACGCTCTTTAAGGTCAGTATAATGGCCAGGGACTATTGGCAGAAGGTTGCCATTAATTTCTTCATTTTCATTCCCATTCTGACCCTCAGCAGTAGCTTGGGGTATATCCCTAAGTTTATCACTATCTTGGGTGTCAATAAATTTCATCAGTTCTTTGTAAGATATAAGGGCAGGTACTTTACAACTCCCAGCAAATTCAGTACGTTTTCGCCTTTTACTTGGGATGTCCCAATCAAAGATCTCCGACGACCTTACACTACAATACTTTCTCCTTAGAATTCCTTTCTGGTAAAGGACATTTACAGACCTAATGAAATTCTTTGAGGACTTTTCTTTCAGGACATTTTCACAAACAATCTTTGACTTTTTTAGTACTCTTGCAACTACTTTAGTTTTTACATTAGTAACTAAAGTGTTCCACATTCTATTTGCACCAGCACACGTTGCCTCTGGTTTCGTTGATTTCCGATCGGCATGGATCTTCAGAGCTGCATCATACGTCCGTTTTTGTCTCTTGGCTGCGATTGTGTGAGAGATGCCAGTAACCTTGTCACTGTTGTTTCATCCAGTTTTGTTGCTGTTGTAATTGTTGAACCTGGGCCTCTTGGCATATGTGAATTATTCCACGCTAGAGA